TTGTATACAAAATGTATACCCTGAACATTGCAACTAGCAACTAGCAACTAGCAACTAGCAACTAGCAAACTTAGCAACTAGCAACTAGCAGAATACCCAAGCTGCGATACTAGTATGGGAATCTCAAGGCTTGAGGTTGTTCTCACGCATCTTCCTCATTTCTTAATTTTATATTCTTGTAATTTTTTTTTGTTTGTTTTTTTTTGCATTATTTATGCGAGGAGATAAATATTCCATTTCAATGCATTCCAGTATCAATCACTAAATTTTTTTTCATGGTTTTAGTGTTTGCATTCTCTTAGTTATTGGTATTTTTTCTTGTGCTTTGTCGGCTTCCCCTGCTCGTATTTCACGTCATTCTTCCTTGTTTTAACATATAGCATCGTTTATGATAAAAAGTAAATTTTGCTTATCAAAGGAACGCCATAGGATTTCCAATACACCCAAAAACTACTAATCGTTGCTCCTATAAAACCCCAGACCGACGGCAACTCAGGCACTGTAAAATAGGAGATTTTAAAGGGGATCAGTATTTTAACCTTGTTTTCATGTTTTTATTTCAAATGCTCGTAGCTCTGCCCATATTTAACACATGACCTGACGTAGTATTCTCTCAAGCAAAGACTAAAAGTCATGGGCTTCCTGTCTTTTTGATGGGAGCCAGTCGCTGGTKTTAACAKTCATTATAATTCAACAACAAATTTTTGCGTCTATGACGTGACGRGCCGTTAGTGCATCCCGAGGATGGGTACTGTCAGTGCATAGAGTTTACCGCTTCAGAAAAATGTGTTTTTAAATAATAAAAAATAGAGAAGTTGAAACCTCGGCCATTTTGCTGTGATAGTTTCCGTGGGTAACTATCACAGCAAAATGCCCTTGATTCATCCACTCTATTGTTTAAATATGAACGTTGCAAAGGAAACCCAAAGAAGGGAAATTAAGGTTGTCTGTGATTAGTTTATAGTCAATCTCGAGCCCAGAGTCTTGACGGCTAATGTCARCGGTATGCTGACTAGTCGCCGGGTAAGACTCTGGAGGAATCGACTGGTTTGCGACGCTTTTCCGTCGCAAATTATGCAAATTATCCCAGTTTTGTTTTTGCCGGTTTAGAGCATCAAAATGACAAARAAGAAGGAGGTTTAGTACACAACTTAGTTTAGGAACGGTAGTTACACCTTTTTCAAAAACAAAAATGTGTGAAAAAAGGTGTTTTTATACGATAAAAGTATGATATTTTTGACCAAACAGGCGAGCGCGCGCTGGCGACTTGTTTTCCGACTTGAAAACAATGCGCGCTCGCGTCATTTTCAGCCAATCACGAATCGAGAAATAACGCATTCCCCCAGAGTCTCTCACGCATTGACAACCACTGGATGGCAAAAGTGCGGGCTCTGGGTACGAGATTGGTTTATAGTCTGCTCCCCCTCTTATTACATATCATCTAGCTCATTTTCTCTTGATATCAATGTTCTTTTTCACAAGTACGGTACGGAATAAAGAATAGGCATCACTTGCTTGAGGGTATCAATGGGGGTACCCAAAAGTCAGTTAACTACTAATTTTTGGGTCAAAAGTCAAGTAACTACTACATTTTTGAAAAGTCAGTTAACTACTAATGTTATATAGAGATTAACTTTTGGTCTCTTGTATCGAATATCATTTGCATTATAAACTACATTTACAATGCTAACATCACCAATAAACTGATTTGTGCAATCATT